TACGGTACCTTTATAGTAGCTTCGGTCTTCCGCGTAACTCCTAAGAGATTCTTGTCTTTTTCTTTTATTAGAGCTTGTGTTAGAATTTAATAGGCTGGGGAATAACTGTGCCTTTGCTAAGAAACCACTTGTATTTAGTCTTTTAAGAAGGCTCTTCCTTCTCTGAATTACACTTGCTTACCCCGACTGTCCTAGATGCTTCTCTCTCTCTTCGTCCCTAGATTTCACTTTTTAACAGCTTGCCTCTTAATACTTAGATTGCTAGGCGACGAGTAGCTCTAGCCTCTATATCTAATTAATCGAGGCTTCGATAGGGTCTATAGCCTATAGAGTAGCAATTATATAGTATAGGTTATAAGGGATACTATTATTATTAATACCCTCCTTAATAGATAGTTCTTTTTATAATATAGTGTCCGGAGGAGGGTTTTCTTCTCTAGGAGGTTCGCGGCTACCTTACGGTGCCTTTACGGTACCTCCGTCTAGATCGAGCTAATCCTCTAGTCTAGCGCTACTACTAGGCGTTATATCTTCCTTATCGATAATAAACTCTAGGGGATTATTAGCCTTAGTACGTTTAGGTCGTACGGCTCTTTTTCCTGCTAAAGACATTTTTAATAGGTTAGTAGGGATCTGTAGAGCCGTTACGGTAGCTTTATAGTAGCGCTATACTCGAATCGAGAGCTTGTTTCGTACTTAAGACGGCTGTTCCCTAGTAGGGATATAAGGTAATATTCTATAAGGGTATTGTAAATAGGGGGTCTTAATACTAAGTAGTAATTCTTAGATATGTACGATATTGCCTAGGGAGCGAAAGGGAATAGGTAATAAGGACATTGCCCTTTTATAGGATTGCGCCCGGTGCTAGTTAGGCTCGGCGGTGCCGTAGAGGTACCGTAGGGTTATCCTCTAGCCGTNAAATAGGGGGTCTTAATACTAAGTAGTAATTCTTAGATATGTACGATATTGCCTAGGGAGCGAAAGGGAATAGGTAATAAGGACATTGCCCTTTTATAGGATTGCGCCCGGTGCTAGTTAGGCTCGGCGGTGCCGTAGAGGTACCGTAGGGTTATCCTCTAGCCGTCGTATCCGTATAGGGAAATCCTACTAAGGGTGTAATTCCCTCCTTCTTTCTAAGAGGGATTCCCTAGGTAAGGGTTTAAAGGGCGGTATCGCGCTCCTTTAGGGTCCCCTTATATAGGTAGAGAAGGAGGGAAGGCTAAGTATTAGGTATCTAATCGATAAGGCCTACTTTAATAGTCTTATAGAAGCTTACGTAAAGTAGGGTACGTTTATACTAGCGAACGCATATAATAGATCTTAAATTATTTGCTAATATATATAGATTCTAAGGAGTATATTCTATARGAGATACTTAAGCTCTACTTAAGTATTCTAAAGATAAAGGGCTTTCCGCTCGGTCGACTAAGCTCATATAAGTTTATACTAAGCGTATAAAAGCCGTAGTACTAGATCGTATACGAGAACCTCGTAGAAGAGCTACGTAAGGTTCCTAAGGATATGCTATATAAGATATTAATTCCCCGCGGCGGTAGGAAGTAGGAAGGATTTTAGATTAACTCGGAAGATATTATATAGGCGTTTCGCGATTAGTGCGATAATAACCGCTTGCATAAAGAGCTTAAGGAGGCACTAGAGGGTTTAATTAATAGAGAGCTTTTAAAAGAGGATAACTCGGAAAGTAGTAATAGCGATATATCGGAGGTTAATTATTAGTCGGATAAGTCGGAATAGATTATCGGTATAATAGGATTACGTTGCGTTCTAATGCTCTAATAAGACTATATATACCGGGGATATATAGCTAATATGCTTCTATCTCTACTAGTATTAGCGGCCCCGGCTATAATTTCTATAAGAACTCTATAATAACTATATAATAAATTTATACGCCTATATATCTATATAATACTTATTAAGTAGCGTACGCTCTATCCCCCGTCTTTACGTAGTTATACCTATAGAGCGATAAAGGGTTACCCCTTTACTAAAATCCTCCTCTAACCCCCTTCCTATAGACGATATTCCTTCCTTTATACGAACGTATACGACGCTATATCTACGAGTCCGCTTTATACCGATAGGTTCTAAGAAGCAAGTAAAGAAAGTATAGAAGCATATGTGCCCTACTCGGCCCTAATTCGACTATATAAAGTATATACTAGATAATAAGAAATATTACTTCTACGGCGATTATAACCTAATACCGCCGGCACCTTCGAATAAACCGATTATACGGGCGATACTAATACCGCTACGGACGAATACGCTATCCTTAAGCACTATGCTAATTATTATTAACTCTAATAAAAGCGAGATATTAGACGACGAGGTTCTTAACGGATATATTAGTAGAAGCCTCCTAGATAAAGCGCAGCTTACTAGTATAAAGGCAACCTATATACGATAGATTAAGATCGAAAAGGAAGCGGCAATAAATCTACCGAAGCATAAGTACTATATAGGTAATCCACCCCCTAGCTAACGGTCGAAGGATAGTATTATAAAGGCTATCTCTATAATAGCAACCGTATAAGTTAGGTTTATTATTACGATTGTTATTACGAGATACTATATTGCCCTAGATAATCTAGATAAGATACTAAAGTAGAGTAGGTTAAAGAAAGGTAAGGGGTTCTCTAAGTATACTATATATATTATATACTATTATTACATTTGTCTATACCGCCGTACAATTAATYGCTAATAGGATRTAGGAACGCYTAAGRAYATYRCGGTACCGGATTATAATATTAAAGACATAGCAGCTGCTATTCGTAGCTTCGGTAATAAACCGCATATTACTAAGGAGATAGAACATCCGGAYAACACCTATATATATATTACGTAGTCGTATAATAACCGAGATAGGCCTATTTAACCTCTAGATATAGACTTTAAAGATAGGAAGCTAAGTCGTATCTT